CCCGGTCCCCCCCGCAAAGCAAACAAAGCCCCGCAGCCGCCGGCACCTCCCACACCCGGGCGAGGCGGGAGCGGCGAGAGGCGGAGGGGGCGGCCTCTGCGCCCCCGGCTCCATACCCGCGGCGGCCCGGCTCTCCCTCCGCGTGCACCCAGCCTCCCCTCCACGCCCCCCGCGGGAAGCCGCCTCGGCTCCCGCCGCCATGTTGGGCCGGGATCCGTGACTCTCCGGCCCGCGGCGGGGCAGGTCCGCGGCCTCGCGGGGCTCCGCACCGGCGCCGGAAGGCAGGGGCCGCGGGGGCCCGGTGGGGGCGGCGCGAGTTCCGGTCGCGGGCGGGCGGCCGCGCGCGCTGGTGGCTGCAGCCCCCGCCCCGCCCCCGCCGAGGGCCGGGGGGCGGCGCCGGGAGCGGAGATGGAGCGGGACGGCGAGGGGCGGGGGCCCGGGAATTCCCTCCTCCCGAAGTAACAAGTCTGGGGTCGACCGTGCTGTCGTCGCTGCTGCAGCCGCCGCCGCCGGGCGCCGGGACGAGGAGGTGGAAGGAGGGAAGAGGGCCCCGCGGGCCTCGCCTCCGCCCGCCGCCCCCTCCCCACCGCCGGAGCCCCCGGAGCAGCGGCCCATGCGAGCACGACCGGAGGGCAGGTAAGCACCGCGCCGACCCCGGCCCGGCACCGCGTAGGCCCGGCGCCCGCCCGCGCCCGGAGGCGCCGCCGCCGCCGCTCCCGCCCCCGCCGGCTCCGGCCCCGGCCCCGGCCCCGGCTCCCGCTCCCAGTCGGGAAGTTGTGGGGAAACTTCTCCCCTCCCCCGGCCCGGCCTGTCCGGCGGGCGTGTCTCCTTCCCGGCGCTACCTGCTCGCCCCCCGCCCCGCTCTCCGCCCCGGCCAGCCCGTCCCGATCCCACCCGGGTCCGCACGGAGGTGCCGGGCGCGCTCGGATCCCGCGTCCGTAGGGGCGGGTGGGCCGCCCGGCGAGGCGAGGTGAGCCCCGTGGGGAGCGGCGAGGGGAGCGGCCCCGAGGCCGGGGGCCCAGGGCTGCCCCGCCGGCGGCAGCTGTGCGGGGAGGGCCGAGCCGACCAGGGGGTGTGTGTGGGGGGGGGGGCGCCAGGGGAGAGCCTCTCGCTCCCCTCGGTTTGATTGAAAACCACAACATGTTCAAGTTTCCCTTTGTTGTGTGCGGGGATGGGGTTGGGAACTGTTGCCATTCAGCAACCACTTGGACAGGCTCCTGCCTGTCCCCTCTGTCCACATGTTAACAGAAAATGCTGTTTTAACGTGTGTTTTCCTTCTTGGTAATTGCTTCCAGCTTTTTGCTTTATTGGGGGTGGGAGGGAGAGTAGGGCGGCGTTGTGTTAAGAAGCTCTTTGGAAAATCAAGCCCGATGTGCAGGGACTGCACATTTAATTTTGTGTTGTGGTTGAATGAGATACAGCGTCGTTTGGATCTGGTGGACTTATTTCCTGCTTAATGAATTGAAACAGGCTTGGGATAATGCACTGGCAGTTTATAAATGTAAAGGAATGAAAATTCTCTGGTGGAGTCACAACTTTTATGTTCATGCGGTCTGCTGTGTCTGTATGTCCCACCGGTGTGTGTGCACATACATGCTTTCACATGTGCACATATGTGATTGTAGTGTATTCGTGTGTTGTAACTTTAAGGTCGCAGTACTAACGGTGTCTTGCTCCCTCTACGGGTATTTAAACCATCTAGCTAAATGTCTGAGGTTAAATTACACATTGAGGGAAGTATTGCTAGGTGTGTACGCTTGGCTATGCATTTAAGGCCAGCATGGTGAGTTTAATATCTTAACTAGCTGCAGGACTAGGCACGCAGTGGACAGGAAGCATTTTGAATGGACGGGTAATGAGGGAGCGAGCGCCTTATGTTAGAAGCCAAGGATCTTGTATACATCGTATGTGGCTCTCATATACTGTTTTGTAAGAAAGTTTTTTTTCGCTAAGCCATACACTCACTTTGTTTGAATGAGAGACCCCTGCCAGAGTTGACATTTAAGAAAAGGAAATTTAATTACATTTTAACTTTTGGACATTTAGCTAAACCTCAGTGGAGTCTTTGAATGCTGGTTGACAATTCCTAGGGTCCTAAGTTTGAAACAAACAAACAAAATCATTTGCCTTTCATCTGAATCTGGATACGAGACTGTTCGTATCTGTGTTTTCGGGAAAATAAAGGTAAAAGGGCTCTTAAAGTATGTAGTCTGCTATAGCCACCATAATGTCATATTAGCCTTAATTTTGCAGTATGTTCTTGCTGACTTCATAAACCACAAAATTGAATCCTTTCTGTTCAACCGAAAGTGAAATTACAGCTTAGACCTATCTTCCTGGGATAGGTGGAATTTGTCTTATGACTGAAGTATAATGTTAATACATGGTTTCAGTTTTGGGTTTTTTTTTTTTTAATTCCGGAAATTCTCAAGCTACAAAATCAATGACTGGGCATCCCGGTTTGCTCCCTGGTTTCATCACCAAAAACAAAAGAACAAACAAAAGTCAGTGTCCGTGCAAATACATTTCCTTTGTGGTATGTAGTGTTAGAAGAAAAAATATTCTAAATGACTAGCAATGACCCAGAACAAGAGAAATGTTACCAGCCCCCGGTGTAAGACTTGTTTATACAAAGGTTAATGCTGTGTCTTTTTAGATGATATTTTATTAATGTGAATAATTTTTTTAATAAAAAAATGAGATTTAACTCTCAATCTCATGTTCAGTGTAGACATTAGTTTCTACTAGCATTATGCTAAAAAGAAGCTTAATTATACTAGTATAAAAATTTAAAAGAACAATACTAAACTTTGCCTAGGAATACCAACTTGGGTGATAAATCTATATGTGTTTTTTTAAACATGCAAGGAAGTGATTTCTAGAGAAGTAAAGGTATGGGAGAAAGGAGGAAGTTGTGATTGGAGACCCAGCTTAAGTGGTGGCAAAGTTCTTTTAACTGGTGGTGTTTGCAAGGGTGTTGGCTTTAGTATAAATCATTAAGCCATACATTTGTTCTGTGTGCTTTTCTGTATCTGTGTTGTAGTTTGCATAAAACTGTTTTTCTTTTTTAAAGAAGCCTGTGTGTAATCTATTTTATATAAGGTATTTAAATAAGTTACTTAACCTTTGGTGACTGATTTTATAATACTCTTAAATTGTCCTTTGCAAACAGGTTTAGACTTAATAAAAATTATATCCAACTAGAGCATGCAACTTCTTTGGTATATAAACAACATGTTAATATTTTGAGAGAAGACACCAAGTTTTTACTAACTTTAATCCCTCTTCAGCTTTTATATGTGACAATTAGTAGGTATCAAAATACGTTTATTAAATTAATACTGTTGGATCAATAAGTATTAAATACACTTTATTTTACAAAAAATTTATATAACAACAGTTAAAACTCAGAATTAACTATGACATCAAAGTAAAGTCTTGACTTTTATTCATATTCAGTTTTCTGGCATAGTAATACTTCTAGATCAGTTTTGATATTCTTACCAGTTTTGATATTCGTAAGGATGTCATGAAATTTTGAGCATAAAATATGTATTTACTTAAGTTAAATGAAGATGTGTCATATAATGCCTAAAGGAATATGTTTTGTTTCAAAAGAAAGCAAATTACAATATGGCATTGGAGTTTAAAAAATGCTGAGAATCGCCAAAACCGGTTTGGCTCAATGGATAGAGCATCATTCTATCCATTCTGCGGACTGAAAGGTCCCGGGTTCAATTCCAGTCAAGGGCATGTACCTTGGTTGCCGGCACATCCCCAGTAGGAGGTGTGCAAGAGGCAACTGATCGATGTCTCTCTCTCATCGATGTTTCTAACTTTCTATTCCTCTCTCTTCCACTCTGTAAGAAATCAATAAAATATATATTTTTTAAAAATGCTGAGAATCGTTGCATTAGACTACTTTTTTTGTTTTATGTAGGGCTTGCTGTTTTAGTTGTTGATAGCTTTTAATTGTTGGCATTTTGTAATGTAGAGTGAAAGAAGGGATCATATCTGTGCCAGATTCTTATATCACAGGAACTTTCAGTCATGTTATGAAGGTGATGTTTGTGGTACTGGCTTTGTTACATGAATATTTACAGGAAGTTTTAGTCAAGATCTTCCATTGTTAACCCTACATGGCTTAGGTCACCTTCAGTTCACATTTAAATAGGTCTATAATATAAATACAAGTTCCTCTAGCAAGATAGAACTGCTTTTCTTTAAGGAAATAATCTGTTCCTATTAAAGTATTCTGTTATCTTATTGGTAGTGTGTGCGGTAGTTTGTGTGTTTCTGTGGCGGGGTATGTATGACCGCTTTTCTTCCTCTCAGCTGCTTCAGCGCCACAATTAGCCCGAGTGCTGCTCAGCTGCAGCTGCTGGGTGATTATGAACCATCCAGCTCCTGTCTAAACTCAGAGGCAGATTTAGCAAAAGGAGGTATAGTAACACAGAGGGTGAGAGAGAGGAGCCAACGCTGCTGCCACTGTAATTTTAACATGTCTGTATTCCAAGGAATCATTGGCTGCAGTAGCACTACTACTGTTTTGGAACTAGCCGGTTTGATGGCAACATATCCTGGTCTGGATTGGGTTAACCTGGTGTTACTTTTAAGATCTTGAAGCTCACTCCAGGAAAGAGTAATTTCAGAATACAGGATGCTGTACCAGTGAGGTATTATAGGACGGAGTTTAAGCCTCTATGCCCGGGATAGCATTGCATTTCAGTTTCCCTTGTTTGAGTGTATATATGAGGCATATATCATATACTTACTCCATTCTGCTTTAAGCTGCTTTAAGCTGCTTTAAGCACTCAGAAATGCTGCAACTGTTACTATTGTTTGAGGGTGGCAGGGGAATTTATTGGATTCCCTACTTTTTCCCAGGAAGTAGAAGACTTTAAAGAGATCTAGAACTACATATCCCCTGCAGTCTGAAATTTGCAAGTAGAAACCCTAGATTCTATCGATACTTCCTGTTATTCTTTTATTTATGGGATATGAGAAGATGGACATCAATAAATGCAGGTGAAATATCATCTAAATGTACAAGCCACAGGCTGGAATGTACCATACACAATGTTTGCTGCTTCTGAAATGTTGTTAAGTTTATAAACATACCAAGAAAGAGCTGGAGTATCTTGTCTTCTCTTTTACTGTTGGAAAATCTACAAAGACAATTCCTTATATGAATCCTGTCTTTGAAACTTGGTAGTTCAGGGTTCTGGTTAATTTTGTATGGGGGATAGAGAGTATTGGGAGAAATAGCACTCAAACTTGTATAACCAAAAGGAAGGGAGAGGTATAGAAGACTGCAGTTGAACATTAACAGGTATACATTGTCATCATGGCACATACTTAGCAAGACATTGGTGTATTGATCCCCTTCTTTGTGCTCCTACAAAACTCCGATGTAAAAGTGCATTTCTCCTTGCATTATTATTTTTTTCTTTCTATAACTGATATTTTGTACCTAGTGCTCACTGTGTGGCAAGGAATTCTTTTATATGTCTTTAAGAAGAGTCCTTAGTAGAAAAAATTCTTAATTTTTTAGTTGTGTACAGAAATCTGGTTCTGCTATATGACTTCTTCCACACACAACACCTCTACTAAAATTTTCTAAAACTAGCTTGGTGCTTTTTTATAAGCTAATGTTAAAACAAATTCTTTTGAGATATATATATATATATATACTTTTTTTTACTTCAAAGTTTTGTTCTAGAAAAAGATTTTCTAGAACTGTTTAAACACTTGCAAATGTAAATTTAAGGGTCATTTTAATAAGATTTATATATTTATTAAATATATTTTTATTGATTTCAAAGAGGGAAGGAGAGGGAATCATTGACTTGTTGTTCCACTTATTTATGCATTCATTGATTGATTCTTGTATGTGTGTGTCTGTGGTGGGGTATTATTCTGACCAAAGATTGGGACAATGCTCTAACCAACCAAGCTAGCTGGCCAGGAGTTGGTGACTTTTGCTACATAAGTTAATACTTATAACTGTTCCATAGAAAATTTATAGATTTCTTAGTTTTATTCTGATGCAGTTCATATTTTATGGATAAGGATATTTTAAAAAGCAATAGGCATTTGAAAAGGAGCAGAGAAGGCAACTGTAAGTGTAATAAGAAAAAGACTAAAAGGTAGCACTAGCTGGTTTGGCTCAGTAGATAGAGCACCGGCCTGCAGATTGAAGGGTCCTGGATTCAGTTCTGGCTGAGGTCACATGCTCGGGTTGTGGGCTCGGTCTCCACTAGGGGGCGTGCAGGAGGCAGCCAATCAATGATTCTCTCTCATCATGATGTTTTTCCACTTCTCTGAAATCAATAAAAATATATTTTTTTAAAAAGGTAGAAGGTAGAAAAACCATCTGTATTTTAATTCCACTTCTGACAGTGAAGAGCTGAGAGGCCTTTGTCCATTCAGTATATTCCATAAGCCTCAGTTTCACCACTTGAAACAGGAGGTAGGTAGGTCAGATGGTTTCTGTTATCTTTTCGGCCTTATGTAAATGTGTGGTTCTAGTACAGTTGAAGATTTTGTATTGATAAAAATTTTAAGAAAATGTTTTAGAATCTAGAATTTGATATAACAGGTAAGTAAAGGTTATAGTGAAAACCTGACATGTAGAATTGGCATTGAACTTTCTCAGGCAAATATAGAATTACATAATTCATTAAGTTGGACATTTATTAAACATGTAGTGTGACAAACACTATGCTAGTTTTGATGTTATGAAAAGGATTGCAGATAACTATTACCTTTTAGAATTCACAGTTGGGCAGAACTGGCTATGGTTATGAGACTGTTATAAATTTTGTAGATTGGAGATTTTTTAGTATGACAGTCCCTTGCAATACTTCTCTTTCATATTAGTTAGTGATTCCTCTGAAATCTTAATAAATCCCTTTGTACTATATAGGTGTAGCCTCAAGTAAACTGATTTTATTCTCTAGGCAGAAAGGATTAATTTTTTTAGAAGAAAGGAAGGGAGAGAGACAGAAACATCAATTTGTTGGTCCTCCATTTGTGCATTCATTGGTGGTTGTTTTTTTGTGTACCCTGACCAAAGAGTGAACCTGCAACCAGTTGGTGTATTGGGATGACACTCCAACCAACTGAACTACTTGGCCAGGGCAGAAAGACTTTATTTGATGTTTTTCTATCTATTATTATTTGATGTTTTTCTAACTATTATTATTTAATAATAGTTATTAAAGTTCATTACAGGTATTTGTGGCTCACATAACACAAGCTCCACAACACCTATTTAGAAGTTTTTACTATAAGAAGACACATTTGCAAGAAAGGCTTTTAAAAACCATTTCCAGTCATTTTTGCAGTAATATTAGAAAAGTAAGGACTTAATTATTCATTAATGCAGGTAGTTGTGATGTCACTTAACAGTAATCATGATTATTTGGATGACAGCTTTGCCACAATTTATCAGGAAAATAGCCACATTAACACATTTAATTTTTTTAAGTGACAAAAAGTAATTGTTCTAGATATTTTTCTTTAATGTGTAGTTAATATTTAAAACAAAATAGGCTAAAACTGGTTTGGCCTGCGGACTGAAAGGTCCCAGGTTCAATTCCAGTCAAGGGCATGTACCTTGGTTGCGGGCACATCCCCAGTAGGGGGTGTGCAAGAGGCAGCTGATCGATGTTTCTCTCCCATTGATGTTTCTAAACTAACTCTCTATCCCTCTCTCTTCCTCTCTGTAAAAAATCAATAAAATATATTTAAAAAAATAAAACAAGATAGGCATGGGGTATTTCAAAATAGTTAGCTTTTTTTAAGGTTTGCAAAATAACTTTGTAAAAACAAACAGATTGTGTTCCCAAAGTTGGTTAGGCATTTAGTTGAAAATCAAAAAACTTACCCAGAAAAGTCTTTTCTGAAAGGTTAGCCTTTTAGGTTAGATTGCCAGGCAGCTTATTCGAGTTTACCTATAAAAACCTAATGGTTTGGCTCAGTGGTTGAGCCATTGTTGACCCATGAACCAGATCACAGTTCAATTCCTGGGGAGGGCACATGCTGGGGTTGTGAACTCAATCCCCAGCAGGGGGCATGCAGGAGGCAGCTGATCAATGGTTCTCTCTCATCATTGATATTTTTCTCTCTTTTTAAAAACATTTAAAAAAACAACTAACAGGTATTACAGTTTCAGTGGTAAATGTGTTCTGATTTTCAGGTTTCGTGTTTTTTTGTTTGTTAGTTTGTTTTAACCTGCTGAGCTCTTGAATAGATGAAATATTTGGCTTCCTAAATAGATGATATGATTATATAGTGGATGAATCCATAGCCTTTCCAATCACCATTCCTTCTCACCTTCCTAGCGCCTCACTCTAGAAACCACTCTGTTATGAATTCCACTTTGGGATACTAAGACTCTCCCAATGAGGCCTTACTGTTAAGCTGAAGTACAGAGCTTCCCTAGTTTATCCTACCTGCTTTCTACTCTAACCCTATAGGACCGTGTGAAGAATGGGAAAGCTTCAAAAGATTAGGAATGAGAAACAAAAATGAGGAGAGTAGAGAAGGGTTTGGGGAAAAGAGGAAAGGACTCTGTGGAGTTTGTCATTTTCCCTGTTGTGTCCTTTCTATTTTTCACCCAAATCACTCCTTCTCTTAGACATTGGTTAAGTTTGGAAAAAGCCTGTTCTGTGACTGGTGTTATGGTACACATTCATGTGCATTATCAAGTAATTTAAATCTTTGAAATATTTTTCCAAAATACACAGAAAAATTGTGGATGAGGTAGGTATTTAATTATACATGAGGAGACAGGATCAGAAAGTATATGTAATTTGCCAGTGTCATATGACTAAATGATTGGGTAGAACTGAATTTGAATCTAAAGCTAATTGACAATAAGCCTGTTTGTTCACTGTAAGACAGCTTCCTTTGGAATAAGGAGCAATGATAGAAAGGGGCATTTCTTATCTTTTTCCTTCTTCCTTAAACTGTACATTTGTATTGGAGCTGAGAATTTTCAACCTCTTAAACTTTTCTTTTAGTAGAAGTAGCTTTCTGGTGCATATTTCTTAATAGGTGTCAAAGTCAGGTATTATATGAAGTGAAAAGGATGGACTATTATACTACCTAAACTCTAGCAAATGCTTTCCTTTTGTAGGTTGGGTCTATAATGGAAAATTGATATACTAATTACAAAGCATTATTTATCTTTTTATAAAATAAGATGTTAATTCTAGATTGACAGAGACAGTGTTCAGATGTTTTACCAGTTTTTGTTGTTGTTTTGTTTTTTTGGTCCACATTTAATTAAAAACAAAGGAGCATGCAAAAGATGGATTATTACACTAAACTGTACCAAATGCTATCCTTTTGGGCTTTGTAAGTTGTCTATACAATCTGTTTGTATATAGTCAGCTCCCCAACCCCCATGCTCAAATCTGAGTTTTCTGGCTCAAACTTCTGTACAATATTGTTTTCATTTCTACTAATTACATCATTTATTCTTAGATGAGTCAGTAAAAATAAATGAAAAGTCTGCATTAGCTAACATTTTGACCCATGCTGCGAGAAGAGAGCACCCTTGCTAATTTGTCCTGTCAGTAGGATGGAATTTCCTACACCTTAGTAGAGACTCACCAGCCTTCACTTCCTCTGGAGGGAACAGTAGGACTCTTCCATATGTTGTGTTCCTATAAATCCTATTGTTACATGAAATTTGTACTCTTTGGATAAAGAGCCTCATCTAAAGCTCCAAATGAAAATTTTGTTTGCTACTGTTGTCACTGTGCTACATTCCATTGACAGTTATTTCCTTCACCACCTTAGAAGCTTTTCTTCTTGGCTTCCTTTGATTTTTTTTTTATTTTGTTTTTTTAGTTGTATCTAAGAATGCACCCTTTGTTCACTCTAATAAGCTGGAGCATTGTTTTCTAGTGGGCATTCTAGCTTGATTTTGTAGCATTATTATCCCACATAGACTATCTACAATACAACTTCTGCACATATCACTCTAACAGTTCTGCCATTGACTGTTTATTGAG